AATGGTGACGTGTTCTGTTCAATACTTATTTTACCTGCTGTATATATATATAGGGCACTAATAAGATCAGCCATAGATTGTGGAAGTGTTATATATGGGGCAGCAGCTAAAACATTACAAAAAATAGATATATTACAGCATAGGGCATTAGGTGCACAGGAGCAGTGAAAACTACACCCATTAATGCCATATTAATAGGTGAAACTCCACTGGAAATTAGAAGAATAAAATTATCATTAGTAAACTGGATCAAACTTAAAGGTAGTAAGGAAAATAATGCAAATTCAACAATTTTACAAAACTGTTGGGAATACTCYAAACTCCAAAGTAATGGATGGWTAGTGGACAGATGGGTTAAAATGYATGGATTAGAGGATAAAATGACACAGTTTAATCTAATTAGTGCTATTCCTCCATGGCTATTTCCTGAGGTAAATATAGACATGAGACTTCTTAAAATGAAAAATGATTGGAATTTAAATAAAATAAGGGTAAAAACAGACAAATACCTAAGAAACTCATATAGCAATTATCTTAAAATATATTCTGGTGGTTCTAAAAACAAAAAAAGGATGTGTGGGAACAGGAATATTTACTGACCAGACAGGATGATGGTGTGCACAGACTCCAAAGCAGTAATTGAAGGTATTCAAGGAAACGGAAATAATAGAAAAGATTTAGTTTTAGAAATTCAACACAGTTTATTTAGGTTACACAGTTGGGTACCAGCACATGAAGGAGTGAAAGGCAATGAAAAGGCAGACGAATTAGCAAAAAGGGCTTTAGAGGGGGCAATAACAATTAGAATCCATTTTGGGAAAGGAGAAATAGAAATATGGCAAAAAAGGTGGAATGAAGATAAAAAAGGAAGGAGTTTATATCAAATACAAAATTCAGTATTAGTGAAAGAAACAGAAGAGAAGAAATAATGATGATGAGATTAAGAGTAGGTCATACCTATTTAAATGACATTTTATATATAACTGGGAGGACAGATAATGATAAATGTGAAGGATGTGGAGAAAAAGAAAACGTTGAACACGTGTTGATGAATCGTAAAACATACGAGCCTAAAAGGGAGAGATTGAGAAGTATAATGAGGACAGGAGTGGAGTTTAAAGGGTTTACTGGGAACTGAAGGAAACATGGTGGATATTTACAGATTAAGGAAAACATTATTTAGCTATCTCTATTACACAAAACTAAAAAATAGGATTTAGTGATGTAAAGTAGTGTTGTTACACACTCATGTACAGTAGGTGGCGCTGTGCAGCTGAAAGAAGCTCGTGAGCCGCCATGATAGAAAAGAAGAAGAAGAAGAAGCAGCAGCAGAAGACGACATGCTTGCCTCCCGGTTCAGACTGCAGTGTTTGCGGCTGCTACACTCCAGGTAAGAGAAGCTTTATACATCCCCACTTTATAACCTTATTTTTTAGTAATGTTATGTTCTCTGTATGTAACAGCCCCAGGCCAGTGGGTGCATGAAGGGTCCGTTAAACGACCCTAAATCATTCATGGCTGCTAGAATGAGTGATGCTGTTAGCGTGGGGGATTGCATCACTACATCCTAGTTACGGGTTTACCACAGAAAGGTCTAAAGAAAAATTTCTTTAGGCCTTTATCTTGTTGTGGACTATATAAACACTTCAGATGTGTTAATAGTATAAAAAAAAGACACCGGAGAAGGTTCTAGCTGCCGCTTGCAGTACCCGGAAGCCGTGCGCCTCCTGATGACGTCACACCATTGTTAGCGTGGCTAGCGCGTTGCTAGCTTCAAGGACGTGCGCACACTGGAGGTCAGTGGACTGTGAGGCGTCATCCTGATGAAAAACTCTTATAACTTATTTCTTGCTCGGTTTTTACAAACCATGGTTCAAAAATAAAGCTGAGGAAGTTTTAAATAAATAACTAATTTTTAATGAATAACTGGTTTAAAATAAGTATTTTGCTTTTCACGTGTTTTCAGTCCGTGTACATTCAGACAGTTCGTTTTTTCATTTTAAACAGAAAATGACTTTTTTCGTTTGTTGAACCGAAACGAAAAAAAGGGATTACGAACCGTTATCCGATTTTGTGCACAAAACTAAAGTGGAAAAAAACGGACAACGACTGGTCAGGTTTGATTTTGTAATTTCTTCATTGACAGCGGAAATGACCCGGAAGTTCTCTCCACCCGGCTTCCTCATAGATTCACCATTACTGCCAGCCTGTCAANTCATTGAGAAAAACTAAATTTAGGAGACATTTTCTTACATTTGGATTTGTGCATGTCCAAGCAGTTTGTTTAKTTAAAAACAAACTGTTGTTTTGTGTTTACAGAAGTAAACCTCCACAACCTGTGTGACTTTGTGCAGCTGTAGCTCACCTTTCACCTCTAATATTCTTACAGAAATATCATCTGTTTATTATTTCTGTCTGTGTTTGATAAGTTGATTGTTTTTGTACAGAAATGAGGTGAAATCATCAAATGTTAAAACCAATGAAGATAATACATCAAAAATGCAGTAAAATTGTTTAAAGTAATGAAATATTTAAACCTGTTTTATTTCTGCTTTCATGTCAGAAACGTTTTTGATTAAAAGTAACTCAGTATTTGTCTTAATAAATAAAGTTTGGACTTTCCCAAGTTTGGATTTATTTGCTTTCCCAGAAAGCAAATAAATAACAACAAACATGTCAACTTGTACAGATTGTAAGTTATAAAGATTTTACATCATTTTGCAGGACGTAAAGAACAGGACATAAAGAAAAATGGATTTTTTCAAGTCTTACAGATTTTTTTCAAAACCTCGTTTTCAAATTTACCTAACATGTCAGAGCCTGTAGGATGATTAAAAAAACAATGAATAACATTAAAAAGCCATCTTCCAACCTGTTCTGCCGCTAAAAATAAGTTTTGAAATTTTTCTGCTCTTCTTTCCTCCTGCTTCGCAGCGAGGCTGACCCCCGCCCGATGTTTTGCCAAATTTACGGATTTTTGAGTCTTTTTATCAGGTAAACATCTGAAGAGGTTGACATGTTTGGGACAACAAAATACAGGCTTGTTGTTAGTGAGTTTGTCAACACGAACCGCTACCTGAGAGGCACTACTAGCCCCTCCCCCGTCAGAGTGTCGGAGCAGGACGAGTCAAAGCAACGTCAATCAAATGAGAGAGAGGGTGGGGGCGTTTGCTGCATGGGAGGAGGGGATGTTTTATAGATAGAGTAGTTTATTTTTCCTGTAATACTTCATTATAGTTTTTTAAGACAAATCTAATTGAAAGGGGCGCTGAGCAGAGTTACAACCAGGGATTATAAATAAATACTTTTTTCTTCTGCAGTTCGGCGCCCCCTCCAGCAGATGGCGCTCTAAGCGACCGCCTAGTTCGCCTATGCCAAGAGCSGGCTCTGCTTTCCCCCCTTTACCTCTGTGACATGTTTGTTAATTTTATTTAATATCATGATTAATGTCATTTTTTCAAATCTTGATAAATGTATAAAATCTGCTCTTTATGCAGATGATGGGGCCGTATGGATGAGGGGAAAGACTGCAAAATATGTGATAGAAAACATTAAGAAAGCAATTAGAAAAAGTAGAAAAATGGTCGTATGAATGGGGTTTCAAATTATCAGCAAGCAAGTCTTGTTTTATGGTGATTACAAAAAAGAGAAAGATTAATATAGGAAAAACAGAGTTATATGGACAGCCTTTAGAAATTCTTATACAAGGAAAACTCACATGAACCATTTAGAAACTAAATGTAAGGAAAGTTTAAATCTTCTGAAAGCTGTGACTGGAAACAACTGGGTGCAGATAGACAGTTTAAATACAGCGGGTAAAATAAGTATTGAACACGTCACCATTTTTCTCAGTAAATATATTACTAGAGGTGCTAATGACATGAAATTTTCACCA